TTCCCACCCAACTTGGTGTCATCTGCAAGGATTTTACGGTCAGCGTTGTGTTTCCTGCTGGTGTGGTGCTTTTGGTGCTCTGCTCCACGCACCAGGACACCCCAGACCCAGCAGCTGGAGCCCCCCCTCAGAGCTGATCCTCACCCCTTCACGGCATGGGTAATCTTGCACCAGCGTTGCCTGGGGTCTTGTGGCATTTTTTGGCTTTCTGAAAGCCAAAACCTTCCTCACAGGGAGAGACAGGCTGGAAGCTGTGAGCCTGGGGAAGGGGTGAACTAGTGTCACAGGCAGAAGGGTGCCGCTGCACAGGGACGTGTCCTGCGCAGGGCTGTTGTCATCTCCAAGTGACAAGCTTTACTTGCCAGCTCAAACCTTCAGCCAAGGCTTTGAGTATAAGAAGGGGACAGAGCGGGAGAGCTGGGCTGTATGTTGTACATCCTGGCTTGAACTGGTTGTGTTCTTTCTTGGGTCAGTCCTCAATTAAATTCTTTCATATCTGAAACCGAGAACGAGCATCCCTAGAGTGGCTTAAGATCTTGGATTCATGGCTTTTCTGAAATTCAGACCTAAGGCGCCTTCTGATTTAATGTCTGTTCTTGGCCTGTAGCCCCTGTGCTGGCCCCAGTCCCACCCAAGCCATGTCCCGTGCCAGCATCGCGCTGCCCAGAAAGCCACACAAGTGTGGGTACTTGCCTGTGTGCATTTACTCTCGAGTCGTCTCTTACTGCCTCTCTCTTAGCAGTGCTATTTTGGTGTGTGGCTCTTCTTGCTGCTGCCAAAACCCTCGGGCTCTGAAGCCCTCAGACAGCAAATGAAGTCCCAGCAGGCAGAGCATCCGACTGCGTCAGCGAGAAGAGCCTTCCCCACGGTGCTCAGCGTGCGCCGTGTCCTTGAGCGAGTGGGAAGAGCCCTGGCAGAGCCGAATTCAGACGGGCCCTGTGACTATTGCTTTTCGTCTCGTTACAGGAGAAGCAGAAGCTGCTGGATGAGATCGAAGACCTCACTGTGCAGCTCACAGAGGAGCAGGAGAAAAAGAGGAAGATGGGCGACAAGCTGAGTCAGGAGAGGCACCAGTTTCAGAAGGAGAAGGAGTCGACGCAGGAGGTCAGTAGAGTCAGGACTGCCTGCCACAGCCCTGTCCCACTAGTCCCCCCCAAATCAGAGCTATGTGGGGAAGCTGGCCTTGGCAGCCTCTCCAAAAATAGGTATAAACCGGAGCATTTGGTCCTGCCTGGGCAGAGAAAGGTAGTACAGCAGCTTAACTATATAACATCTGTCGCTTTTGCCTGTGTTAAAATTCAGCTGAGCCTGTCTGCATCTGCAAACCCAGCGGGGCTGTGCCACCCTGGCCCGTTCCTGCGGAGCCCGTTTCTCTTCTGCATTGAAGGAGCGGTGGCAGAAGCACGGTGACGATGGCACATGGAGTCAGCAGGCACTAGCAGGCAGGAGGAGAGGGGTTTGAGGCTACTTGAGTGAGAACTGCCAGCTTCTGTGTGCTGGGAGGCAGAAAAACGGGTCCCTGGCCCCTTCCAGGCATCTGTGGTTGGTAATTCCAGCTTGGAGGCTCAAGCCAGGCTTGCTGTTGTGGTAGGAAAGGAGCTTTGGGCCTCAAAGTGGAAATGATTGTCATTGTGGTGATGCTGAAAGCAGCCGGGTGAGAGGGGGATTCAGAGCAGCGTGGCAGGAGGGAGCTGCCCGAGCAAGCGCCCGCGTGTCTGGGGTGGAGGTCTGGCTGCTGCTGCAGGCTCAGAGCCAGCATCTTTGGTGATCCAACAATTCCTTCTAGGCCTACGCTCACGTATTTGAGTAGCTCTGCCTCCCCTGTTCGGTAGAGGCATGGGTGAGGAAGGGGAAGCCATGTGCCCCCCCGCTGAGAGGGTCTGTTAATCCTGCTGCAGCAATCG